TGTACTACCAGATAGCTGTATTAAAAATTTTTTTTTATTATTTTTATTTTATGTGTATGTGTGTATTGCCTACACGTAGGTAAGTGCACCCGTGTCATGCAGTGCTCATGGAGGTCAGAAGAGGCTGTCGGATCCCCTGTGACTGGAGTTACAGACAGTTGTTAGCTGCCATGTGGGTGCTGGGATTCAGACCTGGGTCTTCTGCAAGAACAACCAGTGTTCTTAACCTCTAAGCCATCTCTCCAGCCCCTTAAATGGTTTCTAAAGAGTGATACACAAAATTCTATTTTCTGAATTATCATGCATAGTTTCCTTTACTTCCAAAATTACATCCTAAAACTTACCAGACTTCCTATGGCACCTGAACACAGAAGCCCACAGTGCACTAACACAACTCTCTCCCTCTGCCTAGAGTGCTTCCCTGTCCTGGCAGAATCTAGCCACCTTCTAAACATGAAGTATCATCTAATTTCCCCATAAGAAATCACTCTTCTGAGTGCCCTCAGGATATTCTAAATATTTTTTTTATTATTAATGCTTACAATATTTTATTGCAGCCATTTCTAGGTTTTCTATCCCAAATAAAATGGAAGTCCCTTCAAAGTAAGGAATCATGTCTTACCTGTTTTTATAATTCTATTCATCACAAGGCCTGACACAGAATAAGAACTTCCTAGATTTTGCTTTTTTAAAAAATAGGTGGAGGAGACTATATTCTGAGGGTGATCAGTTTCAAGTATCAGTATTAATCCTCAACTCAGATTGACAGCGACTTTCAACACCGCTGCAAAAACTCCAAGACGTGTCTGACAACTTTGTTCTAGGATAGGCACACTTGATATCATTCATCAACCTGTCCAACAGTAAACATTCATTTACTACACCTTTCAATAAATTTTTACTTATAAAATTGAAAAAGAAAAGCTGGGTGTGGTGGTGCACGCCTTTAGTCCTAGCACTTGGGAGGCAGAGGCAGGTGGATCTCTGTGAGTTCAAGGCCAGCCTGGTCTACAAATCCAGTTCCAGGCCAGCTGGGGCTACAGGGAGACCTTATCTCAAAAATTGAAAAAAGAAAATTGGAAAAAAAAAAAGCTGAAAACAAAGAGGAGGGGCTAGGCATGTGTAGCTCAGTAGCATGAACAAGGCCTTGGATTTAATACCCAGCACTGCATAAACCAGTCATGGTGAGACACATCTGTAATTCCAGTACTCAGGAGGGTAGAGACAGAAAAATCAGAAAATAAAGGTCATTTAAGGGCGAGCTGGAACATGAGACCCTGTCTCAGAAAACAATCAAAACAGGTATAGAGCCAGTTGTGGTAGCATATACCTGTAATTCCAGCAGGGAGTTGGGGGGAGGGGTTGAGGGCTTGGGAGAGATGTCCCAGGATTACAGGCAGGCCCTAACACACCTAGCTTTGCTGCTGTTGTTTGCATAATTTCCTTGGTGTTTCTAAATACAAAACACTATCACCTATAACAGAGTTTTATATCTCCTTTTCTCTTATATTGACTTGCATGCCTTCTTCTGGCCTAACTGCCCTCATTAGACCTTCTAGTTCAAGAGTGAATATAAGTGAGAAATCAGACATTCTTGTCTTACTTCCGATGTTAGGGGGAATCTATTCAGCATTTTACCCCAAAGTACAGTACCTGTAGGTTTCTTCTTCAGCTGTTTTATCAGGCCCTTAATTGAGCTGAAAAACTTCCTAGCTTTTCCTAATTTTTTTCAGTGTTTTAACAAGGATTACTGTATTTGTCCTGTACAAGTTCTGCATCTCTTGATAAGATTGTGTGCACTCTTAAGATTTGGATACAGAGCTACCGATGGTAACATGTTTGTATTCCAGCACACATGCCCATACACGCCAAAACAAAAGGATTTATTGAGTTTGAGAACAGTCTGGACCACAGAGTGAGTTCCAGGTCATATGCAGCCTGAGCTACACAGCACAGCCAGGTCATGTCCCCCAAATAATTAGATACATAGGTAGATAGAGTTATTTAAAAAAAAAAAAAAACTGGATACAATCAGTGTATAATTCTATATATACAATCAGTATAATTCTATATGCAGGTAAGCAATTTTACATAATTTTTCTTGTTCTAACATAAAATTCCTCCCCTAAAGAACCTGAGCAAGACACTCATTTTAACTACTTCCTTTAATTATGGCTTTTACTTTGAAATACTGTAACCATACCAGTAAATGAGACAGATTTTGGTGCCCAGGGCCAAAATAAGATAAAAGCTACATGCCCAATTTCCAAGAAGTTCGAATTCAAATCAGGAGACCTCAAAAGATAAACAGATCTAAACCAGGAAGAATGGGAGGAGAAAAGAGGTTCCTAAACATAAAATTCATTATTTATAGGATGCAAAGGTGAAATCCAGGGAATGGGAAAGGAAGGAAGTAGGAACGTATTCACCACATGAAGGGAGTAGTATACACAAAGGTCCAAAAGTAAGGAAATGAATGCATCTCTACATTGCTGGTAAGACTTAGGGAATGTGTTCATGTTTAAAACAAGGAAAGCTGTGCTGTTGTCAAGATATGAGCCAGAAATATGAATTTTATGTTACTACTCTCATTTACAATAGACTGACATGGTCCACTATGAACAAAGAACTTTCAGATAAACTTGAACTTAATACTAATATAATACAGCCTACTACCGAAAGAAAAATAAGAAGCATACAGAACTGTTTCATTTTTGTTTTTTTGAGTAAGGACCTTATCTGTAGCCCGGGCTGCCTAGAGCCTACTATGTAGCCCAGGATGGCTTTGAAGTTGCAACAATCCTATCTTCACATTCCCAGTGCTGAGATTATAGGCATAAGCTACCATACATACCCAGCCAAGTATATAGAATTTATATCACAAATACATAAATTCACATCACACACACACACACACACACACAGAGTCCCTCTTAGCCTTACCAATATTTTCTGGATTTTTATCTACCACTTAAGAGCTAATTTTAGTGAATCTTTGATTACAGCATGTAATTTGCTTTCTTCTTTTTTAAGTCTCTTTTTAAAAAACATTTTATTAATTATTTTTATTTTATGTGTATGTGTGTACTGCCTGCATGTAGGTAAGTGCACCTGTGTCATGCAATGCCTGCAGAGGACAGAAGAGTCTGTTGGATCCCCTGGAACTGTAGTTATAGACAGCTGTTAGTTGCCGTATGGGTGCTGGGATTTGAACCCGGGTCTTCTGCAAGATCAGCCAGTGTTCTTAACTGCTGAGCCATCTCTCCAGCCTGTAATTTGCTTTCTTTAAAGTTCTTTTCTCTATGTTAACATAGTCATTATTTAAAAAAAAGAAAAAAAAACAGAAATAAGAGCTGGAGAGATGGCTCAGAGATTAAGAGTACTAGCTGATTTTACAGAGGACCCAGGTTCAGTTCCCATCACCCACATGGCAGCTAACAACCATCTGTAACTCCATTTCCAGGGGATCTGATGCCCTCTTCTGAGCTCCATGGGCCGTGGGCACTGAATGACATGGGAGCATGTAGGCAATATACTCATACACATAAAAAATAAACATAACAAATATTTTTTAAGTAAACAGAACTAAAAATAAATAAAAACCAAGAAATATTACCAACCTATTGCCACTTGGGTACTGTACTACAATGTCATGATCTTCATCAATACCACACACAGTTCCAGTTGTAGTTAGAGTCTCAAACATTCCATCGGTCCATCCTCCGTGACCATGCTGCAAAGACTGTACAATTTCTAGGTCAAGATCTATATTTACCAGGTCACCAATTTGCAATCCACCAGGATTCCTGTTGCCATTCTGCTCACCTGTAATTTCAAATACAATTAACCAAAGGGGGAAATGAAGAAAAAGAAAGTTACAGCACCATGTAACTGCACTACCTATGTGTGCAGTACCTGATCTCTTTCCTAATTAGAGGTCTACTCTATTTTTCTATTTTAGCTTTATCTTCTTTAATCAACTACGGTAGTTTATGTCTAAGAGTTTGTTCTTTACATCTAGAGTCTACATCATTTGTTGGCCAAGGATATTGATGGTAGTCCCTTATAATCTTTTTATGGATTTTTAACTGGAACATACGATAATTATACATATTCATGGGATATAATATATTAATACATGTTCACAATGTGTAGCAATGAAATCAGAATAATCAGTGTGTCTATAAATATTTATCCTTTCTTTATCATAACAACACTGAAAATCCTTTTTTCTACCTACTTTGAAATATACAATAGACATTGTTAACTATAGTCACCCTACAGTGCTACAAAATACCAGAGATTAATTCTCGTACCTAACTGCAGTTTTGTACCCATTAACCAGCCTTCTCTTACAATAACTTTATTATTTTAAAAAATGTTTTATTATTTTTATTTTATGTGTATGAATGTATTGCCTGCAGGGATATATGTGTGCCCACATTGTGCAATGCTCACAGAGGACAGAAGAGGGTGTCAGAACTGGAGGTACAGATAGTTGTTAGCCACCATGTGGGTGCTGGGAATCAAACTCAGGTCCTCTGCAAGAGCAGCCCATACTCTTAATCGCTGAGCCATTTCTCCAGCCCCCAACTTCATTATTTTTAAACACAAATAACATCTAGATACTTCAGTTTTAGTTATCCCATGTTTATCTATTTTAAGAATTCAAAGTAGGGGATACTAGAACTAAGAGTTTTAAAATATAGAAAGAAAAATAAACAAATATTAACTCAAAATCTGTAACAATGTGGGCTGAGGATGTAGCTCAGTGCTACAGCACTTGCCTAGCATGTGCAAGGCACTGAGTTCCATCCCCAGCACCACAAAAAAGAAAAAGAAATTGAAACAATATGATGTTTCATAAAAACCTAGTAGGAGCAAAATCTGTAGAAGGCTATACAGTCCTAAGTCAGAACAGAAAGTCTGGACAAAAAGAACATTCACATGTTTGCTTGGATGGCTTACTGACTAGCACTGTACCAGAGCCACAATAACTAATGACGGAATATAAAAAGAAAACCCTAGATATTTTTTCTCCAACATGCTTAGCAATATTTTTAAACAAATGGATTTTATCACTTTTGTCTAAAGAACATTTGAAATATTTCAAAGCCTATTGCCTGCATTATTTTCAAAAACTGGTTCTGGGAAAGGATTTAAGATCATAAAACACTACACTAAGGGATCCAGATGTGTGTGCTGATTCTGTACTTTTCTAATGAAGGCACAAAACAACAAAGTTTCTGAAAATAAAAGCTCATCAAATACATGGGTATTTTTCCTACATTATCCTTTTTAAAAAAAATTTTAAGTATGCTGGAAGGAAATGGCACTTTTTGTCAAAAAGGTAAGTCAAATGATTTGAAAAAGGAAAATAAAATTCACACAAGAAAGGAAAGTACTTGGACACTAAAGACTTAATCAGAATACAGTGGTAACACTTGCAAAATGAAAGCAGTTTTGGTTTTCTGGTTCTTTTAAAAAAATTTTAATATTACTTGGAATTATATTTACTTCATTACCTTGATCTTGGCACTGTTCTCTTACTAAGAAATGAGTTTTACAGGAATTCTAAGGTATTTATAAGCACTAAATTGTCAAATTCTTTTCTCAGTAGTGTAGAAAATACAACACTAATGTAACCTAATGCAAAATTTTCCAGTGATGTACATATACAGCTTTAAAAAATGTCTTAAAAGGATAGCATTATGGCAGAAATGGCATAGTAATTCTCAAGAACGGACTGTTTCTGAGCCTTAACAAATCATAAAGAGGAACATATGATTTAAAACCAAAATGAAACAAAGATTTTCTCTATCAAACCTCAATGGTAATTAATTTTTTAAGTCCAATTTAAACATTTTACTGATTCTATGAACTCTGGCTCATTAACCTGCTAACTTACCTAGCACAGGGCAATGATCTCTGTAGAAAGAACCACCTTTGGCATCCTGGACACACTTTAGATCAGACTAAGAAGAAAAGAAACCAGAAAAGTCACCCACGAAAGTTTCAAATATGGCTCAATACCTGAAATAGGCAAAATCTCATTCAGCACATCAAGCAGAGGACACTGGGTTACCAGTCACATGAAACACTGCTTTCAAAGCGTCTGTTCAAAACTGTAAAACTGCTTTTTAGACAGCTCTTATTTATCTTAGGCTGTCTAACTTTAAATTAAAAATTAATATTCCATCTTCAATGTTATATTTTCAAAAGCACATCAAGCAAAGAATAACAAATACCTGGTATTTAAAACGTACACAACACATTGAATTTTAAAGATAATTTTACCCAAAGTAAACGAAAACTCTCATCTCATATGATCTTTTCAAACAAGCTTATTATGAGAGACACAAGGTAAAAATTATACATAAATGAAGCCAAGTAGGAAAGGAAATTATACAGAGCTGAGCAGCCTGTACAAGTAGAAAGGACTATTTTTATTTTATGTGTATGAACATACTGCCTACGTGTATGTACGTGCACACATGCATGCAATGCCCAGGAAGGTCAGAAGAGGGCATGCATGTGGATGCTGGAAATTGAACCCAGGTCTTCTGCAAGAGCAACCAGTGCTCTTAACCACTGAGCCATCTCTCTAGTCTCATATTAAGCCTTTTGTTGTCATTGTTGATTGTTTTTTGACAGGGTATCCCTAGTCACAGCCCACCTGGAAGTCACGATGTGAGCCAGGGTGACCTCAATCTCGCAGCAGAGATCCACCTGCCTCTGCCTCCCCAGGGCTGGGATTAAAGGTGCATGGCCAACATCAAATTAACCCTCTTTTTCTAAAAAAAAATTTTTTTTTTTTTTTTTTTGGTCTTTTTGAGACAAGGTCTCCTGGTAGCCCCAGCTGTCCTGGAACTCACTATGTAGACCAGGCTGGCCTTGAACTCACAGAGATCCGCCTGCCTCTGCTTCCCAAGTGCTGGGATTAAAGGTATGCGCCACA